ACATTCAGTGTAAGAAGAGATGTCTACAATCATCCAGCTGAACTACTTTTCTGTGATTGAAAGCTCTTCATAAACATCCTGACCTAGAGTAGTCTGTTATTTCACGCTGTTTGTACTCTGATATTTCAACAGTTGTCATAAATTTAGAATTTCTGTTCTTTCTGGGTATAGATAATGCTTAACAAAACTCTTAAATTTAAATACCTTAAATTTTCTATAGATTACTGCATGATACAGAGAGTTAATACAAATTTACCAATATGGTTTCTTACCATAGAATTATATTTTAGAAAATGTCAGGGATTTGGTACTCCATAGTAAATATCAGTGACTATCATCAATTTCCAAAAAAAAAAAAAGAAAAAAGAAAAACTTCCAATTTAAGTGGCCTAGGTCTTACTTTAATATCTTGTACATCTTTGGCTTTAAGAAAACATGATGGGGAGTGAAATGTAAATTATATCAGCTAGGTAAATTTATTATTATATTTGTTGAAATTGTCTTTTCTTTTTTTAAGTTCATAGATAGTGAACGGCTCAGCTTTCCAGGTCTGAATTTACTTGAAGCAGTTGCATTTTGAATTACACTATTCTAATGCAAATTTAATTCCATAGCATCTGTCATATACAGCAATCTAAACTTAGAAATTCAAAGAAATATGCATTTGAGTTACATCTTATATCTTTAGATATAAGTATTTCTCTCCTATTTAGATCATTAAAATTTCATTCTCATGTATCATATTCTATTGGGATAATTTTCAAAAAACTTTAGTGCTTAAAATAAGACTTATACAACTTAAGATTATTCTGGAGCCTTACAGAAGCTATACATTTATGGTTTGCTTGTGATAGATATGATGAAGTTTAGTATAAAATATAATGATGGTTTAATTAGGTAAGCTACGACACTGTCTAAATAGCAATGTAAATGAAGTTTCATTCTCCCTATCTTAAAACTTCAGTCATAATACATGGAGTACAAAAAAATTGAGGACTATTACCTTTGTTTTCAAGTTAGTTAGCTCTTTATTACAATAATGGCAATGGCACAAAATGTTCCTAAGAAGTCAAATGCCTTTGAAAAACACAAATAATTTATAAGTAGAGGCAATAGAAAATGTACTTACTCCCATCTAACTCTATAAAAGTAAATTATGTTACCTCCTTACCTTAAATGTATGAGCAGAAATTAAGTGCTAGATTCTAAAATATATTCTTATGTGTGAAGTCCACATTTTGGATAAAGAAAGAAAATTGAGAAAATTAAAACCCCTTAATGATAGAAAACTTTTATATAACATTCTTGCTTTAAAAGGAAGTGGTGAAAACATAATGTCAAGCAAAGTATATGGTTATAATTTGTTCCATATATCAGGAAAAAACTCCTAAAACTAATGAAATGTAAGCTGTAGATAGAAAGTATAAATGTAGGGACAGAGTAAAATTCGTGGCAACTAGGTATCTAGTATCGGGGTGTAGGGTACAACGGACGTTATAGGGCAACCCTATGTTTTAACAAAATGTTAACATATTAGCTATTTGTTACTGAGAAAAAATGTGGTTGCAACCAACTGCCCCCCCTTTTTTTCAAATTCTGACGATTTCTACTTGGCCCCAGGTTACAATAAGAAATTCTTAAGAAAGGAAAATAAATCTTTAACATTATTTCCATTTTTCTTTGAAGAACAGTTAAGTATTACTGAGATGATTCTAGTTTATCTGCTAACACACTGACAGAGAAATCATATTTGATTTATTTTCATCATTTTCCTTTAAGATATCAATTTTAAGGTGTGGTAGAGGTAATGAATGGAGCAATAACTCTGGAGTAGGTAGTTATTGTGATTGATTTAGGAGACATTTGCCAAGACAAAAATAAATTAGACTGAATACTGAAATTATCAAAAGTCTATCACAAAGTATGCCTCATAAGAGGTATTAATAAAGTAGAGGTTGCTTTAAGTCACAACCATAAGAAAAAATTATGACTTAAGAAATCGATTTTTTAAAAATATTATAGATTCCTTTAAAGGGCAAGCCTAAATTCAAACAAATGGAGAACCAACCGTAATGAAAGAGATTATTTTGCTTTTACAATCTGAATATAAATCAAACTCTAATTCAATACTTATAAAAATTTTATGGACTGGAAAATAAGAGTACTTTAGACATTTACAGGTTCTCTTATTTTTGACCAGACTACATAACTACAAATATGAAATGATCCAATTAATGTATTTGTTGATGGTTTTCCTTTAAAGCACTATTTTTTTTCATGCAAAGTTCCTGGGACAGTAACAAGATGCATATTTGTTGGAGAAAATGAGGCAGCAGGGATAGTTCAGGAACAGAGGTAAGTTTTATGGCCCCCACCCTGTTAGAGATGTAAAGTGGGTAAGAGAGTGACACAGAAGTTTACTGACACTTTACTCCAAAGAATATTTCATCCTTGGGAGGCCAAGGCAGGTGAATCACTTGAGGTCAGCAATTCGAGACCAGCCTGGCTAACATGGTGTAAGTCGGTCTCTAATAAAAATACAAAAATTAGCCAGACATTGTGATGAGCACCTATAATAATAGCTACACAAGAGGCTGAGGTAGGAGAACAACTTGAACCTGGGAGGCAGAGGTTGCAGTAAGCTGAGATCACACCACTGCACTCCAGCCTACGCAACACAGCAAGACTCCATCTCAAAACAAACAACAACAAAAACCAAAGAACATTTCATCCAAATCTCTGAAACATCACTTAAGCCTTCAGCTTGCTTTCTTCTGCTTGGCTTCTTTAGCTCTTCCCTCGTTTTTTTTTTTTTTTTTCTTTTATACAAGATGCTTTGTCTAGATCTTATAGAGGCTTGATGCTTTAAAACAGAAGGACACACTCATGTCTCCATCTAGAAGATGCAATGGGATAGGTGGAACATCACCAATACACCGGATCTTCCTACCCCATTTGTGGATACAGCTAATGTACTGGCTGTCACTGCACCATTTCTTCTTGCCCTTACACAACAAATGTTTTACTCAAATGTTATGATTACAAATTACTTACAAATTACTTACAAATGTTATGATTGCTCTAAATCAGCGCAATCTACACCTTGTTGGGTTGTTTGCTACCCACCCCCAGCAGTGCCCTGAAGATTAATAGCATTTAACGGTGAACTTGTTTTGGTTTACCCTCACCCTCAGACATACAGAACCTCCACTTATAACATGGCCTTTTAGGATCTAATTCTTATCTATTTTTATTCACATAGACAGCCTACTAGCTTTCACAGAACAGCAAAGGTATTATGTCTAGGTGTAGGTTTTAAACATTTTGCAACACGGAGAATTACAGATATTTCAGAGGAATATTGGAAGAAAAGAAACAAAGAAAAAACTCAATAAAAAGATAATGAAAGAATAGCTGAATTCACAAATTAGAACAGATATCACAGATTATCTAAATTAGGATTTCTCAACATCAGCATTGACCCCTGGTCTGTACCCAGTAAATACCAGAAGCCCTGCCTCCCTACCCAATCTCCAAGTTGTGGCAGTCAGAAATGTCTCAAGACGCTATATGTTCCACGCCTTGTGGGTGGGGAGGGAAAGGAGGGGAAATCATTGCTAGCTGAGAGCCACTACTTTATGACATGTGCATTCATACATGCGCATTCACATGAGTACAGAGAAATCCTATTGCAAACATTAAGGCGGCTCAGGCAGTATACGGTCAAAATCATATGTAAAAGCATGAAAATATTTCAAACAGGATAAAGGTCTCTGAAAGGTTACATTTCTATAGTATAAAGAGTTAATATCTGTTTTGGTTTTTTAGATGCTTATAAGAACACAGTGACACGAAAGTTGTTATACTACTTGCATTTTGTAAAAGTACTTTCATGTAAGTAAAGTATATAAGATATACACGACAGTGTCATTAAATCAGAAATTTATACAGTAAGCTTTGGTACAATTAAGAGCTCTGAATTATGACTATTAACTAGAGAATCTGCAATGATACTGAGTAGGTTTACAGCACTGAAGAGCTGTGCCATCCTCTCCACATTTTTCCACATGATTAAAATTAGGAGGAATGCCAATCAGTTCTTCAATTCAATACTTAGTAATTGAATAATATAAGGCAAATTACTTAAGTTCTCTGAGTTTCTCTTCCCTTCATTTGTAAAATTTGAAAGATAATAGAACTTACAAGGAAGTTAAAAAACACTTTAAATAAGCTTTGATGTGTATTGAGCTCTGCTGATATGCGATTAAGAAATAATAATTGTTATTATTAATATTAATCATAAAAGTAATGGTAAATTTCCATTCTTAGCTTTTTGAGTTGGATTGTATACAATAGTGGCTGATTTTTTTTTTTTTATCTTTCAGTTGATAACAACACAACAGAAGAATAAGTTTCAAAATAAAAATTTTCTGAGACCTCATAGAGGTTCAGAAATGGTCTTATATAGTTCACTTGTGCTAGCTAACTTAATTAACCTTACATGTGCACTATCTCCTTCCAGTTGAATGGGAAGTATTCTTATTGGAGGTATTCTATTTTGTAAGTATTTATTTTACAATATCATCACAATGTGAGATGTATAGCAAGCACTCTGTCTCAGAGCCTATACACTTAGCATTCCTTTAATGCCCAGAAAGTTTTCCAATGTAAATGTAGTTCACTGAGATGACTTGCCCTCAATCTAAAAATTAGTAAAATACATAAGCATAAGCATGGTAAACAACCTTTAAAAACAAACTATTATTTCCAAAAACTTAAACTTGGTACAATCAAATTAGTCAACTATTACCTCAGAGCAACACACTGGGAAAATATCTTCCTGTCCATATATTCTTCTTTCTTATCTATGTACTGTGTCAGTTCATTCTGTATCTAGCTACTCATTTTTCACATTTTCCAATATTACTTGTGCCATATTAATTACCCTTTAACCACCTGAATTTTCAATCATAGCTGCAATGTGAAGTAATGACACCTACCACTGCAGTGTTTAATTGTGTCAGCAGTTAAGAATTTCTTCACCACCAGGTAAGCAGAGCCAGGTTCAGCTAATGAACTCCACCGAAGCACTTGCTCCAGTACATTTTCCTTGTAGTGAAGAGGACGCTCTGTAAAAAATAAATTCCAAATCAAATGGAAAATATATGAAGATAACTATTTTTTTTATAATTATAAATTTTAAAAAATCCCTTTGAAAAGATCTGTAGGCACCATTATACACAATCATATCTTATGTTATACAGTAATAGCACTATGACTACACAAAAGATACCCTAAGACCTAGAAAATTATTAAGCATATAATAACATTTACTATATAAATTAATAATGCAGGAATACCTGTTTGTTACTCAACTATTTTTAAAAATCAGAAGTACTTTTCTTTTGATAAAAAAATCTCAGAATTCTACCCTTTGTACAATAAATTCTACACCTTGTACAATACTTTATTATTATTATTATATTATTTTGAGACAGGGTTTCACTCTGTCACCTAGGTTGGAGTGCAGTGGTGCAATCATAGCTCACTGTAGCCTCAAACTTCTGATCTCAGGCTACCCTCCCACCTCTGCCTCCCAAAGTGGTGGGATGAATGGGCATGAACCACCAACTCAATCCTCTATCCTCTTTTTTAGATAACATACTGGTTTGTTTAGGGAAACCTTCTTATTTTTATATGCAATTAAATGGTTTTAAAAATCCATTAAACAATATTGTCTATTACTAAATAATAATTATAACTTAATCATAATCCTTTGTTTATCCCAACAAGATCAAACTCCTAATTTTGATCAATACTAGTGAATACCTCATAGCTAATATTTTCATAATCAATATAAAATTATAAAATGTAACTTCTATAGAAAACATTAAAATAATTTACAAAATAGTACTGAATAGTCTATATTTAACTATTAGTGGAAATACCAAAAACATTACGTGTCAATATTATATATTAACTATTGACATAATAGGCCAATTAGCAAGAAATTACATGACATCTTCAATATATTTCTCTGAAGAACATTCATCCATATACGTTTTGATTTAGGCAATCATAATTTTAAATGCAGCATATATTCTTAGCATAGAGTTAAAAAGAACCAGTTTTAGAATTACAATCAAAGCCTCACAGAAAAGTTTGTACTGATCAAAATATGTCAATCAGTTAATAAAATGTAGCAACAGAAGCATATGGGAAATTCAAACCTTTTCTCAGTACACTTAAAATAGCATAATTGAAATAATAAGAAAAGAAGTTCTGACATGAAGATGTCAGTGCTGCTTTCCTAGTGTTGTAGCCATGTAAAAGTCAATTCAACTCTTTCAAACCATCCAAAATATAAAGCACACAGCACTTGAGCTTTTTGCTTTTGTTTAAAGTAATGAGGCTAAAGACAAACAGGAAAGAGCATATCAAAAGCATCATACTTGTATGATCCATCATAATGTAATTGATAATAAAATCACAAGTTTACATAAATATATCGCATCCTCCCTAATACTGGTTTCCCTTGCTACGAACATATCATATCAGAAGTCATCAACAATTCCTAGTTCCAGATAAGAAAATAAATTATCTGCTACCAATGTAAATTACCAGATGCTTGCTTCCTATCCAGTAAAGAGAAATCCAGTTCTGCATTCTGTGCTTATTGGAGCAAGCTAACTCATTATAATAATGGCAAAAATAAAGAAGGAAAGAAAAAATCCACTAGGCCATACATCCTGAAGACAAATACACATCTTGTTTCCTATTATATATCCCCTATTCACAGCATAGTATTGAGTATATAATAAATGCTCAATAAATATTTGACAAATAAATTATCTCATTTTCTTTGATGGCCCATAAATTAAAAAAAAAACATATTAACAGAAAGACTCACAGACAAAATGAGTCCTCATAAAGCCAGATATAATATTTTGTGCTATATCAGTATTACTTTTCTTCAAATAATTTTCTAAAAGATTTGGCAAAGATCATAACTGCCCACAATTTGCCAAAGTTATAATTCAATTGTTAACTAACTCATAAGTTGGTTGTTTTCAAATTGAAGTTAGATGTATTTGAAGGTAAAACTAATTATAAAATAAGCACTCTCTTTATGTCTGGCTTTACATAATTTTTGAGTCTACTACTTGAAAGCTTTGAGATACTTTTGATCCCAATAACGGTTGCCATTTATGGAATAACAATTATGTATCAGGCATTATATATGCTGGATGCTTTAAATCAGTTACCACTTTCAAACTTCACAATCACACTCTTCACTAGATATTATTATTCATATTTTACATGTAAAGAAACCTAAGAATCACAAAGGTTTTAGCCCCTTGCCTCGAGTCACATAGGTGGTTAAGGTGAGGAACAGAGATGTGCAACCCAAACCTATCTGACTTTAAAGCCCCAGATCTTAACTACTATAGTTAATTTTATTCCGGACACATATGTAAGTCTTCCCATGATGGTTTTCTCACATGTAATTTGAGGAAAAACTAAGATTTTCTTGGGTAACATATGCAAAGTGAAAAACACTGTCTGCCCTACGTACATAATCAGAAGATAACAGCAGTTTATGTGTCAGTCAGAAGAGCTAGAAAGAATCCTAATAAAAAATAAACAGATCTTCCACATCATAGTAGGTATGAGGAAGAAACAAGACCATCTTTTTCTGATATTACCACATAAAAAGCAACTGCTTTGCAAACTTGGATCTCTCAGTGAAGCCTATTTAAATGAGGCCCCTCAGTGGTTAAATTTCTTTCAAGATGTGAAAAACCCAGAGGGTAAAGGGGTCTACACTGGCAGATGATGGGATCGGATTTAAGGTAAAGCATTAAAATAATAGCATATTTTGGATGACTGGCTCTTACGGAAGAGAATCTAACTCGGCTTAATGTATATTTCATACCAATGTAATATAAAATCAAAACGTCAAAAATATCAAAATGTTTTAAATGGTTGTAATGTATTTTCCCACGAATCTGACTGCCATATAAACAAAAAAAGATGACTGTGCTGTCTTAGTCAGAACTTCCTGAAAATTTGTGCACCATCTCACCAATGACAGTAATGCTGAAATATCATTTAAGTGAAAACAAAAGGTACATGCTTATAGCAATCTGAATTAGTAGCTGCCACATCTACGGAGATTCCATTCACAGGTTTAAGAATCTATTTTCATCATCTTCAGGCATATAGGAGTTTCCCAGCATTTACATGCTAATAATGTATACGTTCCCTTTATTTTTATATTTTAATTAGGGTATTAATTTTTAATGAGTACAATAGATTATCTCAGGACAGTAAAGGGAAGATTACCGAACATTTATTATACAAAGGAAACACTGGATATAGAGAACTCCTGCTTTAAAATATAAAGATACTTAAAATCTAGTACTCTGGCTTACATATTTATAAATTTATATATTCATTCTTTTTTTTTTTTTTTTACTGCATTACTTGGAGGATTTATGTTTACATTATAAAACATACCAATTGCCTGGCTGACATTCTTATCGACTACAACCTTCTTACTACCTATGTCTTTACTTTTACCTCCTTCTCATATTTCACTTTATCTTCCCTGCATGTTACTAGTAATAAAGCCTTCAACATTTCAGGTCAGGTGGTACACACATGTTCAACTGGCTTCAGTAAACCCACATAACCACAGGCCCTTTTGTTGCTCTTCTACCATTAGCCCTCTGAAAGTATTTCTCTTCCTGCAATTTCTACTTGCACAGTTGACCAAACATTAAGACCATGCCAAATTTGAATTCTTAACTCTAAGTATATTTTTTCTAGGTGTACATGACACATTTCTTAGTTTATACATTGACACATTCACAAATCAAAACTTGATGTCTCCTAGTTTTTTAGATATCGTCATAAAGACTTTATTCTAATTAGAAGTAAAAATAGGAAAAAATCCAATTCAATCTTAGCATTTTATATACTAATTATCACATTCAAGTTTATAATTAGTCATTTTGAGAGTAAACATCCCTTGATCGCTCAAGATAAAATTTCAAAACAATGTTTCCTGGTATAATGCAACCCCTCTTCTAGCTATATATAATTCCTTCCTATCCTCATCCACGAGCTTGCTCCTCTTAGGATGACCAGTAGCCAGAGATACAGAGCTGCAATGGCACATGGATATGCTTTAATGTACTCAAACTCTGAGAGGGCAAGGGAGGTAGGGAGAGGATGCTTACCCCTAAATCCACAATTCAGTATTCTGCTATCAAACTTTTAAAAAGCAACAGAAATATAAGCGTGTAGGAGACAATCATCTGTCCAAGCACTAAACAGGGCCTTGAGATCTCTTCATGGTTCCTAATCTACAGGCAGAGATCTCTGTCTATGTGCCTCCCACATTTGGATGCATCTATACCAGGAGTCACAATCCATATCACTCAGGTCCAGAATGCATCTACTTTTTTGCCCTACTTCAGTTGAAAAGAGTTTTGTGGAGTGTGATCCACATCAACTGCACTATGAGAAGTAGTCAAAAATATAAAGCCTAAAATATGTGGTAAATGCGCTAAAAAAAAGTATAGTATAGGGCAGAACCAGGTGTATACACATTACTATTCTAGAAGTCATAGAGTACACAGCATTATAGATTTCTAAACAAGTGATCCGAAAGAAATCAGTGTGAACAACATGAAGGAAGAGACATGTTACTTACACTGTGAAGGGTGAATATGCAATGAGGAAATAATAAAAGGGTTTTACATGGTGAAACAATGTAAACCAATTTGTAATGTGGAAAGATACTTCTGGCAATAATGTCGACAGTTAACCTTTATGCACAAATATAATAAAGCTGGTAACTGAGTGACCCATTCTTTAAAATTAAACAAAGATGAAAAATAAAAACTTTGTCACTCTTGTACCACAGAGTCATAGAAAATCATGCCTCACTTATTCAATAGATTTTATGGCTACTATATAATAGGCACTAGGGTAGACATTAGAGATTAAAAAAAAACAAAACAAAACAGAATTGCTCCTACTTTCCAAGGAGCCCCCATCAAAAGAGACAAGTGCAGATCAAAGTGATAAGTACTATAAAGAGAAATGCGACAAAGTACAAATGACACTTTTAGTCTAGGTTTTAAATGAGGTAGTAGTGTGAGCCAGATGGAGGAAGAACAAAGGTATATTTGGGAAACATCATTTCATATTTGTTAGCCAAGCACAAAAAAAAGAAGAGATTATCTAATAATCATAATCATAATCATAGGTAACATGAAAAAAGATGGCAAAGGAGGTTGCAGCAAGGAAAACCCAATGTTTAGAAGTCAGAATAAGGAGAATCTAAAAAAGAGGTAAAATGATCAGAAAATCATGAAGAGAATCCAGGCAGTATGGAAAACAGAGTGAAGATCATCAAATAAAATGGGAATAGTCATTAACAATAAATGCCATAGAAGGTTAGGTAAAGCGAACCCAGATGTGAATCTGGGGAGTTGACAGCTGGGGGTCATAGGAGTCATCTGCCAGAGTATTTCTGTGCACGAGGAGGATTGAGACCAATTGAGGGAGACACTGTGAAGTGACATCAAAGTACCACAGTCATCAGATCTTGGCAATGTATATTTTAAAATAACATTGAAACATTTTAAATTTTAAAGAATTGTGCACAATCATAATACAGGAATAAAAACATAAAGACCAAGTACTGACAATCCCATTTCATTTTAACACTGATTGGAATACTCCTAATAACACACTATGGGGTATTTTAAATATTGTATTTTAATTTTCATTCTGAGCTTGAGGGTGGCAAGATTTTTCTTTTGGCAGTTTGATAGCTGTACTCCAAAGTGTCCCAAGACCTTAGTAGGTAGCAGCTAGACAGATGGTGAAGGTACAAAGACATTCTGTGTCTTATTTTTTTTTCTGGAGGTCTTTGAAACCACAGGGTGTTATTAAAATGTTAAACTTATTCAGCACTTGACTGTTGGGGTAGTCAAGGTGCTTTAAATGCTCCCTTTATCCTTAGGCATCTTGGAGATGAAAAGAACAAAATATTTGACCCACTAAAGATAGAAAAAGGAAAAAGACAAAAATGAAGCTTATGCTGCTCTTAAAATTACTTTATAGAATAATAAACATTATTTTAAATCAACATTCTTTGTTTCTGTTAATAGCGTTCTGGTTAAATAATAGTAACTCACACCACTCAGAATATTGTACCAAATCAAATCGCTTGTCCTTATAACAAAGGTCTTCTTTCCTGAGGCACCAGAAGAGATACCTAAAGTCTTGCACTGTATTTTTATAGTCAATAAGGTAATATAATTATTTTGATGAGTAAAATCATAAAAAGTCAACCTCAAACATATATTAACACATGCACTAAGGTAAAAAAAATCATAACAAGATGTTAAGACATAAAATGTTTATAAAGTCTTGTCCTAAACAGTACTTTTTTATAGTATAAATAATTTAAGAATCCCTCGTATAAAAACCACTTACCTAGCTCTTCATTTTCAATGACTTCAAATGTGGCCCAAATATCACCTTTTGTAGGAATAATATTTTTTATTGCTAATATATCATTAGTTAATTCTTCTGCTTCCATCACAGGAGATATCTGTAAGAGAAGTAATATTTCTTCAAAAAATATGTTAGACACAGAAGTAGCCTTATGCTAGGCCAATAATATTCCCCATCCACCATTTAGTGATATCCTGAATTTATTTTGAGCATGGTTAAAACCAGCTTCCAAAATCCCATAGAGAAAACAGCATGTTCAGATCTTTTCCATAAAATGTACCTAAGTACAAAAAGAAAATACAATATAGACATGATTTTTTAATCACTTACTGAGCAATTAGACCACTCAGAAGGAAAGAATGTACCCAATGACATGAGGAATGGTCTTCGCCAGACAATGAATCTAACAGTGGTCTAAATGTAAAACTTTTTACTTGTCAGTTCTATAATTAAGAGTGTAGAGTAACTTGGTTTATTCAGCCTAGATTCTAAATTATACACAGTCGGTGGTTATCAGTCATGCCAAAAAGCTCCAGGGTCTTGGAGGTCCGTGGTGTGCCCTGCCATGCCAAGTGACAGATGGTGGGATACCAAAGTATGCTGGAACCAGGATTCCAGGACGGATATCAGAGTCTGCAGTGCCAGCCTGGGGGTTGGCTCTACCAAAGTCCCAAAGCCTGAGTCCACTGTACAAGCACATCACCTCTTTGGGGACTTTTGGAATTTTTTATTTGCTGCTTCTTGTTTTTGCTTATGCCAATCGTAAGTCCATGCTGGCCAAAAGCAAAATGGCTTTCTTCAATTCGAATTTAATTATAATGATGTTTTAAGCATGATAATACTGCAGTTGCAACTTGGTTTGCCCATTTTCAGTAAAAGGACGTCCCTACTAAAAGTTCCTTAGAAATGTATTTGTTTCCATTTCTCCTGCCCATAATTGCTCATAAGCATACTGCACATACATAAATAACAAAAAACCTATTTCACTGCAGGTAACTCGCAAAGTCTACCTTTTGTATTTTATGAAATTTAGTGCTTTTTTGGAATATAATTATACAATGAAGTTCACTATTTTCTATTTAGAAAAGCCCAAAGAAATAGAAACTTAAAAGAAAAAAAAAATTATTGTAGCATCTAGGAATAATAGAGAACATCAAGCAGTATGGAACAGATGAATCATTTCAGTGAAGCTGTTGATCTGCATGAATGTACAATATTTTTAAGGCTAGCCCTTTCTTAAAAAAATAATAAATTATTGAGAAATCCACTTGTGAAACAGGAAGCAGGAAGCACCTTGGTCTGAAACAGGAAGACCAGAACTCTATTCCTTGCATCAAGAGAGACCAAAAGCTCCTCTTTAGTAACACCTAAAACTCCACACTTGGGAAATTATTACTCTACAGAATATACAGATCAGTATACTGAACATCCAGTCGGGATTATGGTGACCCAGGTTTGTATTCTGGCCTTAGTATTCTTACTTCCCAGTTTCCATTCTTATAAACTTGGAACATCACCTGCTTCATCTACCTCCATGCGTTTAGGTAATAATTAGCAGAGATAAATGTAACTAAAGGGTTTTGCAGAATCGTAAGCATTAAAACCTATATAATTGGTTTTAAATAGTTTCTGTTATTTTCTAAAGAGTATTTGGGGTTACTATAGGTGAAACTGGCAAGTCTTTTATCTAAACACACCAGATAACATAAGAACTTGGCTCAATTATAACTTCTGTTGTGACTTTAGAAAATAAAATTAAAATGTACTACTAAAGAGCCTGTGTATAGATTTAAGCCATGTGTTTTGAATACCTCCTCTAGCATTAGTGATTAACTTGTGCTAATTGATCTTTACTAGCTCCTCACATCTCTTATGATCAGCATTATGCATTCAGCATAAGAAATATGACATGGCCAAGGAGTGGCAAGGCAAATGCTTTGTAAAGACAAAGCCTATAATTACAGTGTTAATATTTCAGCTTCATGTACCAAGTAATGTACTTAATTGGTATATAGTCACAATTCATAATCATTAGAAACACAAAACTTAAAATCAAAATATATTTAACTTAAGTCCAAATATATCTAATGTTGTGACTCTGTTTAATTCTGGACTTTAAAAATGATAAATAGCTAAAGCCAAATTTCTGTTACATGGCAGAATGTCTATTGTTCATACAAATAAATCAGTCTTACCAAATAGCAACCTGAAATATCAGTTACTATCTGTAAGGCAGACAAATTACTAAATACAGTAGCATGAGAAAGATCTATTTTAAATTCATCACAAATGATTAGTACTCTCAAGGAATAAAAGAGTTATCCAAATAAATGTCCCAGAGTTATATTCAAATAAATTGGAAGACTGGATGCTAAAGTATAGAAAACAAGGGTGAGGGATTATTATTAATAGTAACAGCTCTAGTAGTAATAGTTATTTATTAAACACATGCTCAGCAATGTGCTAAGGGTTTTACATGCATTATCTTACAGAGTCCTCACATCAATGCTATGATGTAATACTGTGATTTTTTCTCATTCTACAGGTGAGAACAGTGAGGCCTAGAGCAAATAACTTGTGTAATGTCAGGAAGCTAGGAAGGGGAAGAGCAAGTATTTAAGCTCGGGGTATTTTCCAGAACCTGAAGAAAATCTTAACGCGTAATCCAAAGCACATAAGATGTTCTCTTTCCAAATGATTTAAAATACAGAATTCCTGGGGGATATCAGTATAAAAAGTCTATGTTGGCAGTCGTTTGAACTGGAGAAGTAACATAAAATATAATAATGGAAAATTCAAAATATGTAAAATAATGCTAACATTTGTGACTTCCAACAGTCCTCTTTACAGCCACCTTTAGAACTTACCCGAATTATAATACTACAGTCAGGTTCCTTCCTTTCTACATATACTTCAATTAACAAATCTCCAGCCTGGGAAACCTAGAAAAGGGCAGAGGTAGAAACAACACAGGTAAATATGTTGTAAAAACACACATTTGAAACTGAAGACAGTTATAAAGCTCCAGGCATATTTTTGAATATTTTATAACAATGAAACAAGCTCAATTCCGCCGTTCGCAAGCATGATGTGCCCATTTCCAGACATGGTTAAGGACAAGGCATTTACACAAATGTTATAATCAGTAACAACAATCACAATGATTTTCTTTTTTATCTCTTACTCAGGAGCTTAATGTTCTCAAACACCCTTACATTCTTCCTAAAATAATGAATCCAGCTACAATGGAAATATGCTGGCTACGACAACAGAAGTCGTAGGAGCCATCAGCATGTACGTTAACAGGATAAACAAAATGAGGGGTGAAAACAAACCACATGTAATTTTGCTTCAAGCTGCAATGTGTGCATGATATCAATATTTAAAAGGCAAAATATGGCTTGCTACATTTTTAAAGAGAAGATATGCCTGAAAATTGAACTTTGAGGATAAACTATGTCAGAGCTATATTAAAACTACAAATAACATAAATTTAGAAATGAAAATGAAAGTGAGGTCATTCATGGAATATGGTAGACAATAAAAAGAAGTTTTTAATTATCTTTGGACAAGAATTAAGTACTAATTTAGGTCATCATTATATCCCAAAAGACAGACTAAGTGAAGAAGATGCAAGCCTGAAAATAAAAGGCCTTAGGATATCATATCATAACTACATAGATTAACCATATAGGAGGTTAACAAAGAACCAAATTAATCTATGAAAAATATTTTGAGTAACTTTTTTCAGAAGTTCCCTTAAGTTATGTAACCAATTAGAAACAACATCACCTGATTTAAATAAAAAAGATCATAATCAAGAAATAATTCTCAAATTAAATTTGCCTCAGCATAAAATCTAATGAGTAAACTTTGAGAAAAACATTAAAGGTGAACTTTGAAAAAGTTCCTTAATTTTTCTGGCATTACAGGCTTAGAAAAGCTTATTTCCAGTTTTTCCTCCTGACTTACAATGCTACAGATACATTCCAGTAAGGAAAACATACAGTTGACACTTTTGCTTTTCACTATGTTTGTATAAACAGTTCTCCAGGAAGGACACATTTTAAAACTTAAAAAGTAAATACAAAGAACTCATAGAGTGAAATAAAAAAGAAGAATAGGTAAGAAATTCAAACAGGGGTAAGACAAAGAGACTGAATGTCAGAAAAAAATACTCCAGAAGACAGTTTTAAATGAATTAGAGGAAAAATTTAAGTAAAAAAAAAACAGATTTTCCCAGACTCTTTTACTTATCATTTCCAAATACTGTATTTCTTGTTTTTACTTACTTATACAGACTGAATTGAAAGCATTCAAAACTTATTTCTTTATTTTACTATAAATATAAAAGACAAAAAACGCAAAAAGATACTCAAACCTTTTAAATAACAATGTAGATAGTATGGTCAGGGGTCAGCCTCACACAATCCTTTATTTCATGACTAAAGTCTTCCTCTCTGCTCCCCCAAAAAAGTGAGAATTTAAGATAATTGATAATGAGCTAGATTTTTTAAGGTTAAAGCTAACTCCTTTGGAAGCTGCATAATTACTCTGGGTCAAAATGGAGAAAATAATTCATTAATATCATAGTATTAGTACTGATCTAAGCCTTCCTCTATTTTTTTTTTTTGTATGGAATGACAGCTTCAATGACTCCTCTAGTTAGCTGTGGATATTTCAGGACTGAGGAGACTTTAGTTTCTAACAAAAAAGCATTTGCCTCATTATCTATCTGTAAACAGAGCTCATTTGATCCATTTCTATCATTTATATTGGTACCCTGAATCCACTCTAACTCCTAGTTACTAGAAGATGACTAATGATCAGCCTTAAGAAATTCCAGTGAATATTCAACAAACAAGCATAGTGCAACCGGAACACAAAAATCCAGTACAATGTGATTGAGGAAAACAGGACACGATGTAGAAAAGTCAACTTAGGACAAAAATTAGAATGTGTTACAAAGATCACATTAGACGCATTCCATTAATACAATCATCTGAAAGCATGCAAAGCAAAAGCATATAAGAAATAATTTATAGTTTCACAACAACAAAAAAGAATCACTAGGCTGTCTGAATTTTCAATTTACTCTAAGTATTTCTTTGGCTTTAAATGCTTCCTTTGAAATCCATTAGCATTTTCAGTCATGGTTTTTATACACAAAAGTTGATCTTATACAGAAAATCTTGAGAGGTAAATTAAAACTGACTTTCCCTCTACTTTTAAAATTTTACATTAGCATATTTTGCATGTATGTATCAGGTTGCAGAATAACACAACCAATTTACTTAATTGTTGTTTTTTTCACCCATTACTTTTACTTTGCTTAAAATAGGAACTTGAAAATACACACAGCAAATATCTTTACTTACAATGGAAGTTTCTGTTTTGTTTTATTCTTTAGAGATCTAACTATTACTACTCACTTGGGTGTCTTTCCACTTGGTAATAAAGCTATTTTCTATGTCCATTTGTTTGACTTGATCTTCTTTAACCTGTTTAAAATATAATTCGGGACATTCTAATAATGTAGAATACGAAGAGTGATGACACTCATCCTCATGTAATCTTCAGGAATTTAAATACCAACAACTTAAAAATAAATGAGAATGGCCATCGGAATCAGTATGAGCCCACATAGCTAGGTCGGAAATAAAATAAACAAGATAGAGTATCCTAAAGTTCAAAATATTTTATGATGACATTACTTCAGGCTGCAATTGCATTGGTGGAAGTTCTATTTCTTAGGAAACTTAAGCAAAGGATCTGATGACTGGTTTAAGTTTATGCAGGTTGAGAAACAAAGCTCATTTATCAAACTGAAATGTTCATTAAGTGCTTATTAAATTTCCATCATTTAGGTAAAGTTTAACATAACTATGAAGATAACCATTTTACTAATGGAAAACTACAAATACAGAAAATAGAGACAGCATGTAAAGCCATACATCATATTTTTCTAAATCTTTATTTTCTCAGCATCAGATTATTGCGAAGAAGTTGCTATTGATCAAAAAACAGTGGACAGATATAGAAAGAAGTAAAGAGGAGATCAAAGAGCAAAGACAATCCCACAATCTGGTGTCTATTCCTATGTGAATTAAGATACAGACTGTGATATTTTGTTTTATTAAAATAGCTCCTTTTTCTTGTCTTATGATAAGTGATTATAATAAGAATGTAAGAACTCTACAATGGTAAATGATTACACTAACCCTCTTGACTTCATGTGGTATAGCCATACTTCCGGAAAACAAGTGGACTCATAAACACCATTTAAGGGAATGTTCAAAAGGTTAAATGACAAAATGGAGATGCTAGAACTAGTTATATAATAGAACTGGACCTTTCGCCCAAATCTACCAATTTGAATCCTGGGCTTATTTCCTCTAATTTTACTTCTTTGAACCAAGACATCATTCCTATTCCAACAGCTTTCTGATGAAACATGAAAATATTAACTTTATAAAATGGAAAATTAAAAAGTCAATTAAAACAGATTACTTAGTAAAATGCATAGAATAATAATATTTTAGAATGTGCTTTTTTTCCCCAATTAGTGACACAAGTAAAAGAAAAAACCAAAGTGCTTTCAACTGCAGAATTTAAGAGTCTGGTATTTATTAATGAATTGTTCAATGTATAACTTTATACCTCTAAGTAGATATAACTCATACACATGAAGAAAAAGAAAACACAAGCAAAAAATCCTGTAGATAGAAACATTCTGTCCAACAGACATCAGATGGTAAAAAGTTTTAAATGCAACCAAATTTAAATAATGACTATAGCTTAAAAGCTACTTATGCCTATATTTTTTTAAAATGACTATTCCTTATTTTACATATTTCTAAATATTAATAAAGATCTGAGTAATAACACCCTAAAACATATATATATGTTGGCAAACAGTGACATTATAACCATTTTAACAAGGGCAGGATACAAAATATTTACCTCAAATATTTCTACATAATTATTAATTAGGTCCTCAATTACATTCACTTCTTCACTAGTTTGTCCTTTCGTTTGAAACAAACAGGATGAAAAGACCAAGGCCAAATTATGGGCATTCATGTGATTGATTTCTGAGCATTTCTGAACCCTGTTAGAGAAAAGCATAGTTCATTATGATACACTTCTATTTGGAAATTTCATAGAACAGAAAGCCAGTTTATCAATTTTTAAGCACATCAATATTGAAATTCTCTGATATAAAAGATACAGTAGTGACTTAAAAACACATGGTTCTTTCTTCCAAGTAGCTTATAATCTAGTTAAGAACATGAGAAAAAGTACTATTAAATGGATTAGTAAAAGTTACAAAGTCATACTTAATTGTTGATTTAGAGAAAGGGCTGACCATATCCAAACAATTGCAAACTATAAAACAACCTGTGGCCAAAGTATAGAAATATGCTTGCCGAATGGTGTAAAATGGCTTGTGGGTCTGCAGCATAGGAGGAGGAAATGGGGTAGGAGGTATGCAGAAAAAAGGCAAAAAAGGTAGGTCATTAGGCATATAATTGACAGTTCCAAATTCCAGTTGCAAAGCTGGGCTAAATGTTCCGGTAAGTGCAAATCAAATGAGAAAGAATATTTGGGCACATGTGTCCATACAGTTATTCAAAATAAATGATCACAAAGTAGACTATTTTAAAATGCAATTACATTTTTTCCCCATGACACAAGTTTAACTATGTAACAAACCTACACACTGTACCCCCGAACTTAAAAGTTTACAAAAAACCCAAAACAACTCCCTGAAGCATCATCCCCAAGAAAGGGAAAGTAACATTGCTAAAAATGTAACAGATGAGAACTGTAAGTGGCACACTCCGTCAAATGAACATAGTAACTCCATAAAATGAATGTAGTAAGACTAAGCTAGACATTCCCATCTATGAAGAACACAGATTCAGGTAGCTACAAGAAAAGGTGAATAAACATGATAGCAATATACATGATAATGTAGGGAATTCATAATAAAATACCAAACTGCATAGCAGAGATGGTGCAAGGGCAATCATCACATGTGATTTTCAAGGTGCAAAAGGGGCTGGAATTTAATAGAAGAGGATGTAATAATTGTGAACATCCCTCTCAAAACAATGTCTATGCTTTCACACTACACTTAATTGTAAACATCTGGAAAATTTATCTGCATGTCTGTGTCTGTTACTAGAATCTAAGTATCTCACAGTCAGAAACTCTTTAATCCCATTGTGAATGGAATTTAGTGGATATTACTGATGGCAGAAATGGTCTTTTAGCTAGGGTAGGGATTGAATTAAATGCTAAATCAACTTGTCCTCATCCAAATTTTCCTCTCAATCTTTTAAGGACATTATCTTTAAGGACATTCCTGTATTTCTTGAGACTTCCTTCTGTAATATCATCCCCTTTGGCACTTTTCACTTCTCTTGTCTTTAGTTTAAGTGGCTGCCTTAGTTTCTGGGACAAAATAGGTATAATATAGTGTTTCCTTTTCTTCCTTTACTTCTCTGCTCCGAGGTGTTAACATTTCCAATGTTCCATATTCAGCTTGACCAGTCCCTTCTCCTCCAGGTCTTCTCATCAGAAACTCAACAAAACTGTTTCCTAGTTAGCTTATCTGCCTCTATGCTACATCTTCCCTACCAATCCCATCATAGGGATTATTATCCTAAAACATTTGATCAGTTACTTTTATCACTTAAAGGATAAAATTCAAATGTTTTTGCATGACCTACAAAGCCTTCCACAACTTCCTGCCAGCCAACTATAACCCTCTCATCTCCTAGTACTCCTATGTCCCAGACATTATCCTTCACTCATTTCTCATACTCTTCTTTCACGCCCAGTTCATATGTCTCTTTAAATCTGAAGCACAGATGCATCCCCCGGACCACAACGCGCAATGAATCGTTCAATTTATCCTCTATAATTCCATGCTGCATGCTAAAATTCTCTATATTAAAGTTTGTCTCAACGTCTCATAGGCATAGAGATAGGACTATATAATGTAGACTATATTTGTATGATGCAATAAGAAAATCAGTTTTACAATAATGGAGCTGATATAAATGAGAAGTAGTGGTTGGGAAAGAAAAGAACAAGAGGAAAGAACACAAATTGTAAAAGATTTCTAAACGGACACTGCAAATAAGGTGCTTTTAGCAAAATCCAGCTTTACCGAAATTTATTCAAGCGAGTATTTCATCCATTCAGGGAGCGACAATATATTCTTTAATCAAAATTTACATTTATTTAAGTTTTTGTAATAATTCTTGCTAAGATTGAAAAAAAAAAACAGTTTTAACTTAAAAGGTTATTTTCAAATGTCCTCATCCTTCAGACCTCATTTGTAAAGGCACCATTATATTCCTCATAGCTTTCCAAATGCAAGGAGACTTTCATGCCTTCACATAGAAAATTGTTTTTGATTTTTAAAATTTCCTCATTGTATCAATAGCCTGATACCAAAATATAAAGGTCAGTTAAGATATAAACTGATAATAAAGAAATGTCCACCATGAGAAAATACTGTCCTCACAGACAGATTCTTGTTACAAAATTCTGGTCCTTGCACATCCTTCATTCTCCAGCTTCCAAACCAAGTGAGTTTTAAAATTCTTGCTTATGCATCAGATGCCTTTGAGGATACTGTATATGATCAGTTCTGATTAAGAAATTACTAGCGCTATTTATCTGTCAATGTGACTTAATTACAGAAAGACAGACTAACATGAGCTCTTATGATATGTAGAAAGATTCACAATCACATAAGAAATAGTGACTTATTTAGTGCTGTGTTTGAAATGTCTAGAAAAGTTCATTCATCTACCCACCTATACAGGTGTTCAATGATAGCTGCTAATGTTGCTCGGTTGACCCCTGGAAGAGAACGTATAAATGCTCCATATTTTTTAATTCTTTCCTTGTCATCTTGCGCATCTGGAGGGAAAAAAAGAACAAACTTGAGGCCTAAACTAATTATCAATGTTATGAATTCGTCTATCAGCAGTACTGTAAAATAGTCACAAACAAACGCATTTTAATAAGTGATACAATCAGGTTTCAGTAGACAATTGTTCGAAGTTCTAAAGTAATTTTCTATCAATCTGGAAAAGTATTTATTTACATAACATTCCAGCACTATGTGCTCTAGTTTTTATAATTTATAATTGAAAACAAATAACTTTTAAAATACAAGGTTAGGAGGGATTGTATTTTTTTATCTTCTACTTTATGGAATACTGAACTTTAACTTAATGGGAATACATTCAATTAACTATTCAAACTGGAGTACAAACTGAAGAGTTAAGCCAAAAGTATTTTAACTCTGGCTAAGGAAATGTTTTCTCAATTGTATTTGAAAATGACATTTCTGATTTTTGCTTCTCACGACATTATAAAAATATTTCCAAAGCTACGAACCATCCTGGAACTATGAACTATACAGCACCTCTTCGATCCAGGTAAAGCGTACTTTCAAATCTTTTGAAAAGGTGAGAGTACAATGGAAGAAGTCAAGCCCAGTTCTTAATAACTACAATCTGGATTTAGAGGATGATAGACTTCCTGCTTCGTCATGAACAGAAATTTGTTGGTTCATGGAGAGGAGGATGAAAACGAATTACCCTCCACTCACCTAACTCCAAGAAGGCAAATATCTGGAGAAACTAGAGACAGGAACCCCCCAAAATCTAGACTCTGTAGAGGACATGCAGTGACAGTGTAGCCTATACCACCTGACAGTGGAAATAGATCATTCTTCAAATAAATCACTTGTGCTGACTTGATAACTCAAGGAGACCACACTTATTATTTCCTCTCAATTCGCAACTATCTTTGGAAACAAGACTATTTTATCTCTTGCTTAGCCTTACCTCTTCTATTCACAGAAAATCAGCAGCACACTAATGATGTCTTAAAAGTACAAAGTCACTTGTAAAGGGCATTAGGATCCCTGGCTAGGTAGGAAACTCTGTATGACACAGTTTTCAAGTGCACTCCTATTCAAAATTGCAAGTGATATCTCTTTTGTACTGATTTAGACTATACATGAGATCAATAACCATACACATGAGTACACTGAATTAAGTGCACTAGTAGATGACTCTCTATAAGAAAGAGGGGGAAACACCCAAATTACATTCAAAGACATTACTGGAAATTAATTATGTATAATTCCCAGTATAATCCAAACATTTATCCTCATGTTATCTAGTTTCTAACTGTAGGATAAATTGCATTTATTCCTTAAAATTTAACACTACTATGCTTAAAACAAAAAGTCATGCTAGTACACATATTTTCACACATCTTATAAAATAGATATTTTCAAAATAAAGCTAAATAAATTGAAAGTAAAACTCAGGAAAGATTTCAGGCCATATAGAAAATACAATGAGCAATTCAACTAGACACAGAATTTAACAGTGTTCCTAGAAGAACAGATCATATGTCGTATAAATATAGGTGGTACATGGCTATTAGGCATTCTCTACCTCAAGTACACAGTGCGTCAAAAGAGTTTTATGAATTCACTCAGAGGGTACTGGTTTATTCTTTTCAGGTCCAACATGGCCACTATTGAAGGGTCTGGCTGAACTATATTGTTTGCAAAAGCAAAGGAGTTAAAGGTTACTTGACCCAGTATTCAAAGCCTTCTCCAAATAAATTCTCAAAGAATTCATAGGCAAGGCAAAGGTGAACACATTCCTTTCGGACACACTCTGACCCCTGCTGACTACCTTGTTCTGGTAGACTGACAACAGTGAAGACTTGTTTGTCACTCAATTTGACAACTTTAGCAAATGTGTATTTGTCACCTGTTGTTGTTGTTGTTGTTTTTAAAGAGGCAGCATCTCAGCTCTGTCACCCAGGCCGGAGTACAGTGGCACCACCACAACTCACTGAAGCCTGGAATTCCTGGGCTCGTGTGATCCTCCCACCTCAGTCCTCAGAATAGCTGAGACTACAGGAGCACATCACTATGCCTGAGTTAACGCTTTTTTTTTTTTTTTTAGACACAAGGTCTCACTATGTCGTCCAGGCTGGTCTCGAACTCCTGGTCTCAAGCTATTCTCCTGCCTTGGCCTCCCAAAATGCTGGGATTATAGTCATGAGCCACCATGCCCAGCCTTGACATGTACTACTGATAACCAATTTTATAATAAAGACAAATTATAAGTCTTTATGAAGTAGAGATACTCTAAACAGCTTCACACATTTCAATAAAACTTTCTTAAAACAAAAATGAGGGTTGCAGGGTAACTGAGATTAAAGCAATGTATTTATCTCTGCATTTTGTATCTTAGAAAATTATATAATCAAGTATTCTTGGTATTACAGTGAACCCTACTGATTTGAGAAACAGAAGGCAAATGAAAGACTTCTGACAGGTAGTTGTATCATGAGAAACTTTATTTTTGTTATAATGCTACTCTTCCTGACACTAACTAGGGTCATTCTTGGGATAATTTTCAAACTGTGCGTGTTTTGTGACATCATTTCAAAAATATCTTTAAATATATCAATTGTTTTAGATCAAACAAATACTTTCAATGAGGAAAATTACTTCTCATTAGAGGAATGCCATGTGACCAGATTCAAAAGCCATTTTCCAAATCTTGAAACAGATTAAATATATAAGAGACAAACACATAATTATAGACTAATTCAAAAGTAAGTTTTAAAACCTAGAACAATGGAGGACTGAAAATTATCATTTGGAAAATACTATAGATATATGAGAAATGGTTATGGTGTATTAATAAAAATAAAACTGTTATATACATAAATTACAAAAGTAGAGAAAAGGACTATAACATGGATCAACAAAAGCATCTTTATTAAAAAGGTGGAATTAAAGGCAATATTTACATTTAAGTCTTTGTTATTGTAATGTTTCAATAAAAGGACTTGTTTTAAAGCATTGGAGGTTAAAAACAGGCTTTACTGAAATTAATTTGACCCACGAGGGATTTAATAAACTCCTTTCCTAGGGTCATCTCTTAATTAGCTTCTCTTACAGTGTATAACAAAATTCTATTTCATTAGATGGAATCTAGGATAAATGAAGCAACAGTTAAAAACTGTTATACACTATCTTGCAAAATGAATCATACAGTAAATGCTTCATTTTATTTTTAATGGGAAATTAGTAGCACACATGGACTTGAGTATAACATTCCAAAGTTAAAGCAAAGTATGAACTAAGAAATCGACTGAAAACTAAGTATATACCAAATGATTGAGCAAATATTTTTAATTTCTCTTGAGATAGACTGAAACAGCTATTGATATTTATACAATTTCTGTTCTAAGCCATTATGTACATTTTTTCTTTCAATTAAAATTTCAACTTACCAAAAAAGTCTAAGTATTAAAAGGCAAGCATATATTATGGTCTGTGTAATATATATACACACACACACATATCTATATATATATCTGTGTAAATATTACCTAAAGCAGAGATCCAGTATGGGTAGAGCTCCTTGGTAAGCAGTGCATCATCAATGTCAGAGAGAAAACTTTTCAACACACCCGTCACATCTTCAAGCTGATGTTTTCCAGCCCTCAATTTAAAGCTTCTTGCATCCTTTTTGAAACTCTCCAGGAGTTCACTTATATGCAAAGGATCACCATTCTTCTGATAGATATATTTACATCCTAAACCTTTGTTAAAAATATTATATTTTTAAAGTCTAAATACAAAAGCCAATTTGATATTTTAAAAATGAAACAAATGTTTGTGTTGAGATGATGAGTAAGATGATGAAATCATTACACAACAGATGATATAAACATGCATGAGCAGGAAAGGCTTCTTATCCCTCATTTTAGTATTTAAAATGTAAACCTAACGAGCAAATCATCGCAGACTCAGCTTTTAGCAAGCTCTTGATCAGTCCTTCCTCCAGCTCTCCATAGTATCTTTTTCAAATGTTCTTTTACTTAAAGTGCCCTGTCTTCACTTGGTCTCCCAGCAAACAACTTACCTCCATTTCTCACTGACAAAAGTAAGCCTCTGTGGTATAAATGTCTTCACCCTCCTGCCCCCATGTTGTATATTAATTTCTGAAAGCTCCCATCTTCCCTTATTTCCTGTGGAGAGTTGGGTTACCTCTTTTTCATGGTTACTGATTCATGAAGTGCTCCATACCAAATAAAAGGAGCAGTGGTTAGGAGGAAGAGTGATGATAACGATGACAATAATTCAAACCCCAAAAGCCTCCCTTGACTCCTCCCAGGCTTCTTTTCCCTGTTCCTTTCACAACCAGGCTGAATTTCCTATATTTATTCCTTCTACCATCTCACAAGCCTGTTAATCCTTTGACCACACAATCTTGCATCTCTGCCCAATATCCATTCTGTTGGGGTCACCCTTCATCGAGAATATTAACAACGTTCTTTTTTTCTAGATGCTTTTCAGCTTTTATCTAGGGAGAACTCCTTGCGGCATTTGACATTCTGAATGAAACCCTGTAAATTCTTTTAACCCCATAACTTTCATGACATCATGATTTCATATCTCTTTTTTTCTCCCTTCCCTCTGTGATTGCTCTCTCAGTCTTCTAATTTTTTCTGCTCATCTAATACTTTCTGGTCATCCCAGGGATCCTTCCTCAATTCTCTTCTCTTCCTGCCCACTGGGTGAGAACCCATCCAACCTCATCACTTCTACATAAACATTTTAACTCAGGTTTTAATTTCCATGATTTTACACACACACACATATATATACACATTCCATTACATATACACGCAACATACACACATACACCCATACATCTTATGGCAAATAAAAATAACCCAAAGGAATTAATTCTCCTGCTCTGTTTACTACCTCACTTTCCACCCCCACCATGTTCTTTATCTTGTTCCTCTCTACCTCAATATATGGCATTGCCTTCTCCTAGCCCTTTACAAGTCAGAGTATTTATTTCTCAATCAGCACATTAAAAACAAAAAAATGCAGTACTGCATCACATAGATTCTTCATCACGATCTCACTCTCACAACTGTCCTCTCCTTTCCATCCCATATGCTATTATTTGTGCACTGAGTTCTTACTACATTGTCACAACTCCTTGCCCATATTCTCATGCAGCCCTCTGTGTGTCTCAACAATGATAACAGCATGATCTAAAATTCAGGTCTGTATGTGTTATCAACAAGCTTAAAAATTCGAATACTGTCCTCTTGCTGCCTACGAGGCAAAGTTTGAGGATACTAGTTTGTATATTAAACCTTACCTGACTTGGTCTAACCTGTTGCCTTTTATATTGATTGACTCCTTCTCCTTACACTAAGCTCTGGTCACATTTAATACCACAAAGCTCCCAGCACAAAATTTGTGACTCTATACCTTGGCACACACTTTTTCTCCTTCTGGAATCCCTATCCTCTTCTAACTAGCTCCCATTTTCTCTTAGGGCTCATGGTAAGCACTGTGCTTTACCTATGAAGCTCTCTGATACCACACCTTCTGTGAGTGAAATTTACCCCTACACCTTGGACACCGGAAGCACCCCCTGAACCTCTTTACTAGAGAATTTTATACACTAACTTGTAACTGCTCATGTATTTGTCTCTTAATCATAAATCTGCAAACTTCTAGAAGGCAAAAATGATGTCTTATTTTCTGTGACATATCTCTGTGTATACCCGGCAGTTACACAGTGCCTAGAACTACTCTACAGGTATTCAATAAATGACTGCTTAATGCAAGAATAAGCAAGTTCTACAAAAATCAATACTGACTAAGCGTTTGAGATAGTATATCCCTAGCTGAATGAATTTCTAATAGCTGGCACTCAAGTAAGTTAACTGAAAAATAATTTGAACATAATTTTGTTTATATAATTGAAATAATTTCCCCAAGAACTAATGTAATTTACTTTTTAAAAATTAAAGCCCTAAGAGTCATCCTATGAACTCATTCAAGTTCAAACCTTGACACAATGACAAAATGAGCACAGAAAATTGGTCTTGAGATTTCAACCCACAGCTCAGGAGGTTAAAAATAATTGCTACCATGAAACCATCTGCATCCTATAATCACTGGGTATTTTCTAAGTTCCTGCCAAATCTTTCTTCTATACATGCTGGTAGCATTGAGGTTTCTCCAATGTTCTGAATATAAATATATATATATATGACATAAACATACTATCATAGCAGGAAGCTTCTTACTGTAGCGCCCAATATGTGATTATTTATATACTTTCAATAGATATATAATACAAACACAATTTTATATATAATTATATATAATATAAAAATATTTGATACATTCATATATAATATATACATCTTATATGACTGTATGTATGTGTATATATGAATATATGTATGTACACATATGTGTGTATATATTTAAGTGTGTGTGTGTATCTATTTATATAAACACAATCCTTCACTGGCTTTATTATTCTAACATGCAAGTGAAGGCATCTTGTAATAGATGTATAAAGTTGTTATAATATATGAGTTTTAGTTGAAAAAAAATCTAATGCTGAATTATTTTAAACCCAAATAAACACAAGGAAAATTCTGATTTCCCTAGAAAAACATTAAATTGGCTACATCAGAGCTAGTCAAGGTATTTTAATTATTTCTTGCTTAAGAAAGGCCTTATGCCATTATGAAACTAACATGTTGTGAAGATTCCCAATGAGGTTATGCTCCTGTTAAAACATAACATATATGTGATTCATGTGTATCTGCAAAATGTACACTACCACTGAATGGCTGTAACAAATGAAGGTAACATTCTCCTTCCTCCATTTTTTAACAGATGATTATAGCTAGGAAGAAAAACACGAACATACTATCATAGCAGGAAACTTCTTATAGTAATATTATGTATATATTTTATGTATATATTTTCAGTAGATATACCATATGTATATTTTTTTATATTATGTATAATATTTTCAGTAGATATATCATAAAAATACAATGAATCTGGACATTAATAATTGCACTTGCATTACATACAAAGTAAGTAAAATACTTAAAATGACACTCTCCCTAGAACAAGAGATTAAAATATGCCTAAGTTTAATTCCTGAAAAGTATTTTCTTTATACATATCATTAGTTCTGATATTTTGTTACATATCAGTGTATTGTCAGTTTCCCATACTAGAAGATATGATTCATAGCTTTGTCTTGAACTTTTTACTTCCACTACTGTGTTTCTAAGAGTGAGACCAGTGACTGGCATACAATAAGCACTTGATAAAGAAACAATTAACTAATAATGCAAGGCTTTACTGCAGCCCTCACTACTTATATCTTCTTTTCAAATTAAAAACACCCAAAGATACCTCTAATATAAGGAGAACAAAAAAATTTTAATACAATCCAAAATATCAAATCATTTTCCTCTTTTCCACATTTGTAATCTAAATAAATGGCATTTACCTACAGGTTAAAAGGGCTCATGGTAACATTTTAACATTTTCACATTTAAAATAGTGTCAAGAAATTTACAGTATGAAAGATATATGCAATAAAAGGAATTTGGAGAACTCATAACCATTTGAAAATAAACATGAAGGAAAGAGGATATCTTTCAGGTATATCTAAAATACTAAACATAGCATATAAAACTGACATGAAGCTGGACCATGGTACAGATCAACGTGTTTTTTATTTGCAGACTATTCATTGAAACATTTGTTGAAAATAAGCAAAAATTGTGAAAATTAATAGCTATGCTTCTGAACATAAACTACATGCAATTTCATGTATGCCAAAGGAAGCAAATTATTTTACATATTGTTCCACAGTTCATCACTTACAAAAACATGCTTAGACGTGTTGTGTCACTGTAGGCTTTAATCTAGCCTTGTAATCTCTGAAAGATAGTCTTCAATCTACTATTTTTTCTTACTTGAATAAAACATATAATCTACTATTTTTATGTACATATTATAATTTAGATTATTTCAACAGTTTAATATTTTATGCATATAAAGGAAGGAGGAAATGGTAAAAATGTATGGTATAGTTTAAACGAGTCTTATTGGGAGAAGGAATGGTAATTAGCTGAACAGTAAATCTGCCTTTATTTTTCACTAGTGTACTTACAAATATAAAGGGTTTCAATTCAGTCCAATAGAGGTACCACTTAAAAACCTGTGAGAATGATATGATCAGTTCTAGGAGTTGAATAAAAACTCAGTGATACTTACCATACTGTGTAACAAATGCTATACAGCTGTTCACTATAATGGGAACGTCATTTTTGCTGAGCTGCTGATCTTGTAAAGCATTACCATCTGTACCTGCTGCTTTTTCAATTGCAGTATGCCAGACTGTGAAATCCAACTTGGTATGCCCATGGATGTATAATGTTCTGTTAAAAGTTTAAAAAGCATTTCAAATTATAATTTTGCTCTTTAAAAAAAATCTTATTCCAAGACAGATTACCCTAAAATCCACACAATCGTGATCCTATCTTACCTATTACAAGAAAAACTCTTCTTTTATTCTCATCCACCATGAACTTCCACTCAATCCCTCTTTGGCCTGTATAGTCACATCACTCCATAGCATTGAGGAAGCTTTCTGAATTTATGGTCTCACTTCTTTTCATTCCCCAGCCTCTTTTATTCTCTTTCTGAATAACTAAACTAAAATCATCATGACTATCACCTGTGACTTCTGACGGACATTTCTGGCTATGCTTTTCAAGGTTTTAGAATTGTTGATTTTATTTCTTAAAAAGAGAAAAAAAACTAGCATTCAATTTGAATTTTATAGCACAATTCTTTCTGGATTTTCCTCCTATTATTCTGGTCACTCAGTCTCTTTCCCAATCTCACTTCCTCTTTCTGAATGACAAAGTCGTAACCTCAGCACACACAAAAGCTACATGGACTCTCCAGGGTCATGTCATTCAGGCCAGTAGTTTCATCTTTTCATATAAATTAGTTTACTTCCAAATCCCTATCTCCAGGCTATAATTTTCATAGGTCAGATCTCCATGTGACTGAAAAGCAGGAGAATAGAGCACCTGAGAGTAGGAATGACAATCAGACTTTCTGAACATAATTTTAGCTCTGCCATTTACTTCCTTTGTAACTTTAGACGGGTCAACCTTATTTTTGCTTCAGTTTCATTATTTGCTAAATAAATATAATAATAGCACTTAGGACAACACTCAATAGACATAACATTAATGACTAATGTATAAACTGTACTACTAAAGAATATTTGTATTTGAGAATCTTCACCTTAATGTGCAATAAGCATATCAAAGCTTTTGCTCTCCCATACCAAACTTCTAGCACCAAAAATTTTCCACAAACCCCACCAGAAATTTAGGATTAATTAAGTGTAAATCAGTCTCTTTGCCCAATCACTGCCACATTACTTCAGTCACAAAATTCTGCTGACTACAGTTTCCCAATGTATTCACTCTGACTCCTCTCCTTTCCAAGACTGCCTTATTTCAGATCTTCATGTTGTTCCTTCAGGTCACTACAGCCCCTCCTTACAGAATTCCTTTCCCAATTCTCAACCCCTGTAATCTCTACTCCTCACTATTGCCAGAATGATCTAAAATGCAAAGCTAATGACATCACTTCCAGATCACTGTCTTACAGTTCTTGAGTTTTCAAGATAAAAAGGTCTTCATAAGCTAGCCTATATTTTTACTTGCAATTTGATCTGCCATTCTCCTATACTTATGACACTCAGGAAACACAAACATAAACACACACACACACACACACACACACACACACACACACACACACCCCTCCTGGATTTTGTAATACATACTGCCTGCTCTTTGGCTGGCTACTCCAAACCTTTCCCCCAAATTCTACTCCAGGTAAGACTCCTTGACACTGTTCCTGACCTCCCTCTTATGCTTAGCATATCACAGATATTCCTTCTTAATCTTTCAATGGTGGCTTTGTCCTGCATCGTATCACCTGCTGTAGCTATGTGAATGTTTTAGCCACGAAACTCCAAACTTTACACAGGCAAGCAAAGAATTTCAGTATCTCCAGTCATTAGCATAGTGTCTCGCATTTAGTGGATACATAGCAGTTTTAAAGACCTATCACTAGATACAAAGTTTGCTTTGAAAAAACCGATTGTTGATGTATTTTAAGTATATTTACACCAAAGTAAAACTATATAATCTTGATTTCAGACTTGACAGGGCTAGTTTATATTCGACCTAAAGAGACATGAATAAACTGCATGAATTCTGGGGCTTTGGGGGAAAGGGGTGGGTAATAAGGAATCATTGTACCTAATTTAAAAAAAGAAATAAAAAACTTCCTTTCTTTCCTTTGTATTCTTTCTTGAAATGCTCCTGGAAGAAGACAAAGATACCTACAACTTACCACGCTCATTTCTAACATTTGAACTTGCTATAATTACTACTGTTTTACTAATACTGGTGCTTGTAATCCTCATCTGTTGCTTTTTGACATCTTTATCTATTGTTTCTATTTTCCACAGCACCACAGCAGTCCTGACCTCCAGGTGTTGTAATTTTCTTTTTGAAGAATTCTGAAATTTGCACTAATACACCTGACATGCTACAGCCTTTTCATTGATCTTATATCATCTTTAGCTCAAAAAAGCGTTCTATTGCTGGATGTATTTGTCCAACTTATATAACTCAGATAATTTTTTTGAGAAATATCAAACCTCTTGATTATGTGAACTTAATCAACATTATGTCTTGCTATATTCACAAGTTTAGGTAAAGAGAAAAACATTTTACATAATTTAATAATTGAGCTTTAAATATGATATAAAATCTTTGTAACTATTTGCTTATAAACAACTACAATGGGTGTTTTAGCAAGCAGTGAAAGAAATCCAAAATGCAGTGGCCCTCCTACAATATGAGTATAATTCTGTCATAAACTGTGACATTTTCAAACTTCAAATTTTCTTTCTAGTCAGAAAAAAATCCTCTGATGACGAGTTGAGCTGTCACCTTGTGAATTAGTGAAGAGTAGAACTTTCTCAACTTGTCAAAGGGCGAATCCCAAAGTATATATGCAGTGCAATAGATGGTTTCACATTTAATAGCATCAGTGCACTAACTTTCCTCTCTGATGCTTACCTAAAATTTGTGGACCCTGAATAAAGCATCAAAAGATATTTTCTACACAAATGCTGGTCGACTTTGAGATTTCAAGTGTTATCAAACAACAATTTCACATTCCCGGATGAGAATTCCAAGGAAACATTTACTTATATCCTGACAATCTGAAAAGTAATATTAATGAACCCTAATTACAGAGAAATTAGTTACACTAATTGTCCATTTTCTAAGCATAAATTCCAAAGGGCACTTCAAAGCCATATGAAGAAAAATTCTTATTTGCTATAATGATCAAGCCAGTTCAATAAGACCTAGAAACCAGGTCCGAGGACTAACAAAAACAATTATACTAAAACTGCAATACAATAACCATAAAGCATAAACAATCCTATTTGAGCCTAGTCTATGACAAGAACCAGAAGTATCTTCACAAATAATAAATCAATAAACTTGACCACATAAAAAGTAAATATGCTCATATAAAGAATATTTTAAACAAAACTGAAAAGCAAATGAAATACTCTATAAATATGGCTGGAAACGATAATACTCTAAGCATTTATACAAAAATAAAATAGTAAGTCCTCCACAGAAACATGGTCATCAGCCATGGAAAGGTAAGTCAAAGAAAGAATTAGCCAATGTAACCACAAACCAGTTTAAGAATCAAGTATGTGTGTATATATATGTGTGTGTGGGGGGGGGGGGGTGTGTACATATATATATCTTAGTCTTATCATACCTAAGATTCACAAAACAGAATTTCCTGAGCAACTTATTACAAAGTCACACTATTAGAATGGACACACATACATACACACATGCGCGCGCACACACACACACACACACATATATGTAAAATCAATGATGTGTCAAAGCAATTTATCAAAGATCTAAAATGTATAATGTTCATCACTAGAGTATAACAAGATGTGCATAGTATTTTAAAGACTGATGAGATACTTTAAAAATAAATTTGAAAATATGTTCTAAGAATCTTAAAATATGTATGCATTACTTTTGACAATTAGTTCCAAACACAGGACTCTTTCATAAGTACACGATTTGAAATGAAGGTACAATATCTGTTTCTTTCAATATATTTCTGTCCCTCTCTCACGCACATGTGCACATGCACACAAAGACATACATTCACCCGAACTTTTAAAAAATGGAAGTTGAAATCCCCAAAACTAGTGAAAGGTTAAGTGATTTAGCTACCTCCAAATATATATATTATAAACTTAGTACAATGAGCAAAGAATGCATAATTGCACATATGTATAAATTCAATTGCATTTCCTAAAATGTTAAATTAACTCAGGGTAGAAAACTCATGGACATTTTGTTTCCTTCTTTATACATGTCTGTGTTTTTAAAAATGTAATTAGAAACAAATCACATAAGTTGAAGTTTTGACTGATCCCTTGAAGGAAAAGATATTTAAAGCCTTCTGAACCAAGCCATCTTAGACTGTCATTGAGCTTTTGAGCCAGAGAACTGGAAATATCTCTGCCAAGCTTTTTTTCCATATATGACTAAGAAACTAAGAGCCAGAAAGAACGTGTCTGAGGCCTCAGAACTAGGTAGGATTTGCACATTTGAGGTACTCAGTACTAGCCTAGTTCATGAGCCTTCCTTTACCTGAGGAATCAGATCTCCATAATTTACAACTCTGGTCCTCAGGTCCAAAAAGACTCATTCAAGACGTGAAATGGTGATGTGTCTTTCTGTTGCCTTTCTTCTTAGTCCTATCACACCTAAGATTCACAAAACAGAATTTCCTCAACAATTTATTACACAGTCACACTATTAGAATGGAAGTGAAAGATGATCTGCTAAAGCCACACATAACAGAAGACCTATTTCTTTTCTTCAAGACTGTACACTTACATTCTGCCTTGAAAAGCATCCTAGGCATGTTGGAAATGTAATGGACAGGACTTTGGAGGATAGTTTTAGAAGAGTGTACTGTGCATTTTTCTTTATACTTCCTAAGCAACCTCTCAAAGAAGACCCTACTTCTCATCCAAATAGGCTTTTGGGTTTGTTTTCTTCTGGGAAAGTATGAACTGTGTTATTTCTGTGAGTGATGCCTGGTCATTAGATTTTTTAATGAACTCATTTTAAGTGTATGGTTTGAAATATTTTTACAAATGTTTACACTTGTGTAACTACCATCATGATTAATATGTAGACTATTTCCATCACTCACAATGTTCACTCATAACTCTTTGCATTGCATTCCTTTCCCCACCCACAATCTTAGGCAAGAACTT